TCGAAGGAACAAACCAACAAAATGTGTGTGAACTCATTCGAGCCCCTGGGCTAACATGGAAGGAACTTACTGTTGTGGTCTGCCAGCGGCCAGCGGAGCTGGAAGCAGATTCAAGAAGTGAGGAGGTTGGAGAGGAACATGGGCCAAACTCCTGGAGTTTGGGGAAGGCTCTGATAAGGGCTCTGTGTCGGAGGCAGAGATGCAGCCAGGGCCATATGCCAGTTATCAGCTGCCTTCAGAGTCAGACATCAGTGATGTGAACGAACAGCTGGAGCCTGTTCCCAGTGTGCGCATGTGCAGAGTTGCCAGACGAAGGGAACAGCTAAAGAACAGGGGTCAACTTGGGAGTAAGGCCACAGGTGGGCAATGAATGGACTCTCCCAGAGGAAATAAAAGGAGCAAAAGGGGAGTGGAGTTTGCAGGAGACAATTAGTTCGTTTAATTGATACGTGATTCTCCGAAACTCCTTACCAAGACAGCTATCAGCCTGTCCGCTCTCCAAGCCAGATAAGGTCTGTGACTGTAAATCCTCCCTTGAAAGATTTTGCTGGATGTGAATGAACAGAATTCACAGTAAATTAATAAAAGGGTTTTTGGTCGGGACAAGGAGTTTGCTTCACGCTCTTGGGAAGCTTCGGTCAGATCATTTACGACTGCAATTGGGACCAGAATTTCTCTATTTTAACTACAACTCTTTCCAGACGGCACTGAAATTATCTTTGTATATTGTTTTTCTGCAGAGATATTGCTCTTTGTGTGACCAGCTTATCGTTTAATCAGTGGTTTACAAAGCTAAGTTGCAAAGACTTCAAACTGGTGAGTGTAGCAGCCAGCGAAGAGACCTTGGGAAAAAAACCCATCTAAATGTGTTTAATTCTAATCAAGTTTAGCACTTTGTATAAAAACATTTTGATGCGCTATTGTGTGACAAGGGTTACAGTCTTTCTCTGGAATGAAATAGTTTTTTATGTTCCCATTACCAGACCAGGATGAGATAATGATCAGAATGGAAGATGAGAGAGAAGAGGGGAAATTGGATTGAAATGCAATAAGGGCTTTCAATACTGATTATTGATTATTAGACCTGCTTTATACCAGTAAAATATCAAGAAGTGCCTGGCCTTGCTTTGATCACAACTTTCATAACTTGGAAGGAGAACTTTTTCCCTCTGTTTTCGTTTCTTAGTTTTGTCTGCGCGTGGCTCAGTAGTAAAATTCAAAAAAAAATACTACTGGTTTTGTGGCCGTGGCTTTGTCGGCATGGTGTGGTTTTGTGAGGGTGGTATGGCTTTTTGGGCATGGCTTGGTGGGCGTGGCAGGGGAAGGATACTGCAAAATCCCCATTCACGTCACACCTACGTCACACCCACGTCACACCTATCCTCCGTGAGCTGCATTGGCTACCCATTAGTCTCCGGACCCGCTTCAAGGTGCT